GTCGTTAAGCGCCTGCCTTTGGCTCAGGTCATGATCCCAGGGTCCTGGGATCGAGCCCCACATTGGGCTCCCTGCTCGCTCGGCGGGGAGCCTGCTTCTCCCTCTCCCACTCCCCCTGCTTGTGTTCCCTCTCTCACTGTCTCTCTCTCTCTCTGTCAAATAAATAAATAAAATCTTTTTAAAAAATTAAAAATAGATTAGCATATGATCCAGCAATTCTACTTCTGCATATATATATTCCACAGAATTGAAATCAGGGTCTCAGATATTTGTACACCCATGTTCATAGCAGTATTATTCTCAATAACTATTGGGGTATATTTTACCATAATTTTAAAAAGATAGAAACCCGTGTGTACTGTAGGTATGAAGGCAAACTGGTGCAAACACTATGGAAAACAGTATAGAGGTCCTTCAAAAAAAATTAAAAATAGAACTACCATATGATTCAGCAATCCCACTTCTGGGTCTTTATCCGAAGGAAATGCAATCACTGTCTCAAAAAGATATATGTACTCCTATGCTCATTGCAGCATTATTTACAATAGCGAAGATACTGAAACAACTCAAGTGCCCATCAACAAATGAATGAGTAAAGAACACACACACACACACACGTGCACGTGAATATTATTCAGCCATAAAAAAGGAAATACTGCCATTTGCAACAACATGAATGGACCTTAATGGCATTATGTTAAGTGAGATAAGTCAGACAGAGAAAGATAGCTACTATATGATCTCACTTACATGTGGAATCTAAACAAACAAAAACGAACTCATTGACACAGTGAACAGGTTGGTGGTTGCCAGAGGCATGGGGTGGGGGTGGGGGAATCAGAAGAAGGGGATCAAAAGTACAAACTTCCAGTTATAAGATAAGTAAGTCCTAGGGATGTAATGTACAACATGGTAATGAGAGTTAACAATACTGTATTGCCTATCTAAAAGTTGCTAAGAGAATAAAGCTCTCATCACAAGAAAAAAAATTGTCACTATGTATGGGGACAGATGTTAACTAAACTTATTGTGGTGATCACTTCACAATATATACATATATCAAATCGTTATGTTGTGTACCTGAAATTAATACAACATGTCAATTGTATCTCAATTTCTAAAAATATATAACATCAAAAGAACAAGAAATTGACCTTTGAAAACCTTCCTGAACAGCTCTAGCCCACAGGGCTCTCTGC